GCATTGCCTGTTTCTCAATCTGAATGGATAAATTTCTAATTTTCAGACTTGTAATGAATTTGCTATATTACTGTCTTTACTGTATCTTCAGCATTTAATAAAGGAGTAATCTGCTGCTTTGCAGAATAATTAAGTTGAGGCCATTATATTCTAACCACAAAGAAATGCAGATTTTCCCGTCTTTGGCATTCTTCCTTTCAAAAAATGTTGTTTAAAGTGGTATTTAAAAGATAATTCTAGCTTGCTAAATTTAGGGTGTGGAAAAAGTCCAAAATGAGACTATTCCATGGGTAATTGTGCAAGAAATGTTAGTATGTGCAGTAAGAGGAGGATGTCCTACACTCCCAATGCATTTCTCCCCTCCCGCATCCCTTCTTTTTTCCTTGATGCCAGCGTAAAATTGAGCAAGGTTAAAAGTTACCAGAGGCAGTGAAAAATGCTTTACTCGCCTCATTTTAAATATAAAATGATTTCATATCTGAGTAATTTCTAAAACCACCCTGACGTCAGAACTTCCCTTCAGAATTTATCAGCAAGTTATCAGAAAGTGCGTATCTTCATATTCAAGGCAGATTTCTGGTCATTATCAGTTCACTTGCAAACAGAGAAGCTGACTGTAAAATTTAATATAAGAAGTGTCCCGGTCTATGAAGTTTACTTTAAAATGCTTTGAAAAATACATTGATTATGGGATAAAACAAATTCAACAATATGTTCATTGTGGAATGTAAGTGGTTCACTCTATACTTCAACCTGAAAAGGAAAATGGTGGAGGGGCCCAAGGTGAATACGGACGGTCACCTTAGCTCCCAGGTGGCAGCCCGAGAGCGTGTCCGTGGAGGAAGTTCTGCGGGTTCTTGGTTGAGCTGGACCCTCAACACCTCAGCAAGCTTCCCATACTGCAGACTGGGCACCAGGGATGATAGATGTGGGGTCTCTGGGGCCCAGAGAACAGACAGATCGGTTGTTTCATAGTGTGTACAGAGGATGGGGGGAGAGGAGTGATCTGCGTAAGACTCTAAGGCTCATGAATAATTTAGGAAGGAAGGCAAACACAGTTGTGTACACAAAGATGAGGAGAAGTGGGTGGCTCAAGGTCAAAGGCAACTGGAAGGCAAGAAAACAATCTATTTCTGGAGTGACTGAGTTTGTGATGGAGGTTTATGCTTGCAACATAATATCGAAGCCCACCACGAAGTTATTTGCCCCTTCCTCTTTATCCATCCAGATTTAAAATATTCCAGTTCCTTCCTCAGAGGACTTTGTATAGCTTCTCTGTTTTCCTGCAGACATAAAAATCCGACTAAAATTACTTAACAGAGATTTGGTTACTACTGAAGAATACTGGAGAGGGCAGAGAGGATGACCCCTTGGCTGGATACAATCACGCTATTGCATTTTGGATTTGTTTGGATTTTTCTCGCCCAACTTGACATCCTCTGTGCTTCCAAATCAGCTTCTCGCCACTGAAGCAAACCTGGGTTTTCCTTCTGTTGGGCTTGGATTTGTCGGCCCCTCTCATACTGCATCATGCCTTTAAAGTCATCATGGATTCTCCTCCGGTCTTGGAGGGGATCAGCCACCATCTTAAGACTTCATGAGCATATATAAATATTAAACACTTAGAAACCCAGAGCTGGCCCCCAGAGGAACTCACACCATCATCTGGGTAAAAACCCTTAGGAACTGGTGTATCTTTTGAACCATTCATGACAATCATGGCCCATCAGGAGGGTTCTGAGGTGGCTTTGGTGCTCTCAGTAATGTCACAGAGTAGGCTGTGATGAAGAAAACAGGAAGAGGGAGAAAAAAGCAATGAGAAAGGAGAGAAAGTGAACAAGAAAAAATGTGCTGAGGTATAGCAGTGATGGAGAGCAACAAGACTGTGAAGAGCACTGGGAGCCACCAACTGGACATTTCCCCTTCTACAGAGCACATGCCCTGGTTTGTTGTTGAGACTGTCATATAGGGACAGAAGCGGAAGCCACTTCAAAGCACAAAGTGGCATTGGTCATATCCCCCGTCTACATAGTATGTCAGTTTTTTTTTTTTTTTAAGATTTTATTTGACAGCGCGAGAGAGCACAAGCAGGGGGAGCAGCAGAGGGAGAGGGAGAAGCAGGCTCTCTGCTGAGCTGGGAACCCGATGTGGGGCTCCACCCCAGGATCCCAGGATCATGACCCGAGCCAAAGGCAGACACTTAATCATCTGCACCACCCAGGCACCCCAGTATGTTAGTTTACTAAAGGAAGAATTAAATGGGCATGATGTCTTAAAAAGTAGGACCAGTAGGAATTCAGGGTTGTTGATGGTCTGGGGTCTGAGGCAGGGTAAGCAGCTTGCTTTTCTCCCCATGAATGGCACTGGTTATATACCACTCCACATGACTGGTCATCATTTGACCTTCTTGTCTCCAATTGGATCCCATCTGTTGCTCTGCATCTGTGCATGTGACTTTGACAGATTCACCTGTAGTGAGTGATATGGTCAAGGGCATCCATGTTACGCTGACAGAAGAGGGTGCTAGAGACAGAAGAGGGTGGTAGAATGGAAGATACAGTCTGTGGAGGGTGGGTGGGCATGGCAAAGTTGGGGAGGCAGGAAAGGCTCTAGTGAGGATGGGAAAAGCCCCAGTGGGCAATGGATGACTTTGAGTTGGAATGGAAGACCTGTTGGGAGAGAAGGGGAACAGGAAGGTGCCATTCTTCAGGGCACCCATTTTCCCAATCTATCCAAGTCCCTGGCTTTCAAATTCTGCTCTGAGTTTCTTATTCCCACTTCAGTTAACCATTTTGTAAATGGTGGATCCACAGCAGATTCTTTAAAAGCAGTAATCTGGGGCACCTGGGTGGCTCAGTTGGTTAAGTGTCTGCCTTTGGCTCAGGTCATGATCCCAGGGTCCTGGGATCGAGTCCTGTGTTGGGCTCCCTGCTCAGCAGGGGAGTCTGCTTCTCCCTCTGCCTCTCCCCCAGCCTGTGCTCTCTCTGAAATAAAATCTTTAAAAAATAAGTCATCTATTGTGGAGTTAAAAAAAATCCATGGTCCTAGCTAATGGCAAGCACACAAATCACTTGACAGTACTCTGGGGTTTTTGTCTTCCATGACGGCATCAGCCCAGATGCTAACAGGACCTCCTGCTCTGAGTAGCTTCATGGAGGGCAGTCTGCCTCCAAAGCTATTGTTGGTCAACAAAGCCAACATTGAACTTAGATCTGCACATCTATGTAATTATGAGTAAGCCATTTATTTGCTTTTCTCAACACTCTTTTCCTAATCCCAAACTCAGAGGGGGCATATACAGAAAGGAAAGCAAAACATTTTGTAAAAGAATTTGGTGGCTAAGTGGTCATTGTCTTCTGATTGAATGGTGCTTGCTTACCACCAATCATTGGAGTTCGGATCCTGGTATATACGATTATCACTCAGCTTCCTTCAGTTTTTTACTTTGGTTTTCACTTTTTTTTTTTTTTTAGATGTATTTGAGAGATACAGAAATATAGAGAGCACAAGCAGGGAGGAGAGCGAGAAGCAGGCTCCCCACTAAGCAGGGAGCCCAATGCAAGGCTTGATCCAGGACCCCAGCATCATGACCTGAGCCAAAGGCAGACACTTAACCGACTGAGCCACCCAGGCGCCCCTGATTTTTTTAAATAATCTATGCCCATACTGGGACTCGAACTCACAACCCCGAAATCAAGAGTCGCATGTTCTACGGACTGGTGCCCGTTTTTTTTTTTTTACTCCTTGAAACATGATCAGGATGCAAATTCTTCTTCAGTAATAGTAATGTTAAACACACTGTAGCTGCCTCTGAATATTTTGTGCACAGAGAAGAAAAGCATTGTCTTAGCTTCCAAATGGTACTCGGATCTTTTAAAAGCCTGATCTAAAGGAACTTTGGGATTCTCACTCTAACCTAAAGTTCCAGGCTCCCGGCCCACATGGGGCTGTCTCACCCCCAGCCTTTCCCCACCTGAGCTTCATCTGACTTGTGTGCACACTTTAACACCCACCAGACTGGTTAACCCTTGGAGTGCTTTCATCCAGGTCACTGCCTCAGGACTCAGCTCCAGTATCACCTCCCCACAGGACTCCTGCTGTCACATCCACACCAGTTGAGCTCAGTTTCTGCCCCATGAGCTTGCTCACTCCAAATACACGGTGCTTACACCCTTTCCAAAGGCAAGGGCTGTCCTGCCTTCCAGCACCTGGCAGCTTGGCAGGTGCCCTAGAAACACTGCCCCGAGAAACAAGACCACACTAATGACAGTGTATTTGGGACCAGTGACTATTTACCCTGTGACTGGTTACTGTCATTCCTCTCTGATCTGTGAAAACAGTTTTTCGCCTCTGTGCACTGTTCTACCGAGCTGGATTGAAGCGCTGCAAGTAATACAAGGCATTTTTACCCTGTCATTTCGACTTCAGGACAATGCTCTTCAAGTTGCAAACATTTTAGAGCCAACATTTTAATCGGAATATGCCAATGCTATGAGGAAGGGAGATGGTGAGGTAGGAGCATGTAGATATTGAAGCCAACCTGTAGACCACCTGCTTTCCTCCTCATCCCAGAAATGCATCCACCATGAGGCTGCAGCAGGAGCTAGAGGGCGGGAGGTCTTCCTTAGGAAAAGCACTTTATTCCCTGCACTGAAGCCGACCGGACTAGAGGAAGCGGGGCCCCTGATGAAGACAAGACCAGACTCTATAGGGTTGGTAACAGCAAGGAGGGGGCAGAGGCTTTAAGGAGCGGGAGTCACTCCTCAGAGTGTGGAGGAGGTACTTGGGTGAAGGACCCCACCAAGACAGGTGCTGGTAACTTCCCTAGGATGGGCAGATGCCCCAGCTACACCTCAGGTCTGTCATGCATGAGCACCAGCTGTGCCAACAGCCTCCATGGTACCACTGCAGGCGTGGGAGGGTATCACACCTAGCCTTTAGGCCTGACTCCTTTCAGTCCATGGGCAGCTCTCGTGCATCTGTGACCCCCCACCACCCTCTACTCTGCTCCATATTCCTAGTGTGCACAGTACCCAGGGCTTGCTTCCTGGGATGACCATTGGCCACCCTGGGGAACCACAGCCCACCTGCTCCATGCTCATGATGGCCAAGAAAATTGTTCTCGGCCCTCCTAGTCCATTTTGCATATCCATTAGTGATTCCACACTCCCTTGAGACACTGAGATCTCGCAAAGGTGGAGGGCATGGGTAAAAGATCCGAGCACACACGGGGGCATGAATTTGTTGACGCAACACTTCAGAGATGTTGGTATAGGAGGGTAGCATGTGTCCATGATTGTCAGCAAGGAGGTGAGAAAAAACTAATAAGGGAAAGCAATCAAGCTTCTGTGGTAGCAACCCGGACCTTGAGTGGTGGTAAGAGCACAATTACTTGAATGTCGTGTGGGATTTTATTAATTTCAAGTTTTACTAAGCTTGGCATTTTTTCACACACCATGGTGGCACGCATCACCTTTCCTGAAGCCAGGCTCATTCAGCTCATTTCTAGAATATTGTAATCAGGCCTTAAAGTACATGGATGTTAGTCCTATGGCATACAGGTAATAACCTGACATCAGTTTTTCTTTTTAAGATTTGGGAACCTTTGGGCATGTGTTTTGAGTATGGAGAAGTGAGAAGCAGCGGTAAGAGAACTTTTTTCCTTTGCTGGCAGAAAAGGGCCAAGAGACACAGGCCATAACCACAGGCAAAAAGTTAGAGAAACTTGTTATTAAATTTAATTTTCTTTAAATACATACCTTTGTCCCACCCCTCACCTACTCCAGGTCGGGGAGAGAAAACCCTACCCCCTCCATTCAGGGGTTCCATGTATAAAGCCTGAGATGGTGAGGATGAAGTATAAAAATACTATTTACAAAGGGGAAGAAGGTATCTGCTGCTACCTTAATTAACCTTCAGACAGACACCCCCATCCCCAGGCCCCTTTTGCTCCTTTAGAAAAAGCCCCTGGGAATTCATGAGTGTAGAACAAGCCCTTCCTCTCGAGGGGCACCCAAACCCCAACACGGCATAGGACGCTCTGAGATTAACCGAGGAAGAGAGTGAACGGATAGCACCACAGATCCTAGCAGGGGGAAGGCCTTTGCCCTCCAGTACCCTGTAGTCAGCAGGCCTGCCCACCAGCCTTTATTTCCACAGGCCCCATGTAAACATTGACTTTCCTTTTTTCTGTGTCCCCTGCTCTTCCTGACTTCCTACAGAGCCTCTCTCACTTCCAGTGGAGGCACTTGGTTCCTTGATGGTTCCTTGATCATTCCTTCCTCCCCTTCTCACCTTCCTAGGCAAGGAGTGAAGAGGGGAGGGAGGTGACAGGGGGGGCAGGGCCCATCTTAACCCTTCTTCGAGGTCAGGGCAGCCTGTCCTCCTAAGGGGAACCCTCAGGGGGTGAACTCCAAGCGCTCAGCCAGATAAGCGTGGATGGCTTTCCCCAGCAGGGACAGGCAGGCAGACAATCCAGTACCAGGATACAGTGTTCTTTATGGGGGACGCCATTAGTTCTGAGTAGTAGGGAAGCGGCTTCAGGGGCAGAGAGGTGGGGCGATGCTGGTCTCACCCTGATGCTGGGAGACCAGCCCTGCACCCCTGCCCCTTCAGGTAAGCATGGCAATCACCACCCAACAGTCCTTGTTCACTGCAGCTGTGCAGAGGGATCAGGCACCCGTGGGGCAGGAGGTCTTTTCCAGGTCTTGGCACAGAAGCGGTGCTCACACCAGCTCGTCCAACAGGATCCCGATGCTCTGAGTGGCCTCCGAGGGCCCAGCAATGGGCTTGTTACACATAGGGCAGACGCAGCGTACTTCTAGCCACTTCACCAGACACCTGCGGGCAGAAGAAGCCAGCCAGCCTGTTCCGGCTTCTCAGGACATCTCCGCCCTCGCCCCAGTCCAACCCCTCCGGCTTGCCTGGTGGCCAGACAGGATGTAAGGCCTCCCTGGCGAGGGGGACACGGGAGGGGGCAGGGATTACAGGTTCTACAAGATGCCCCCTGCTTATTTGCTTTCAAAAGGCATCCCTGGGCAGCACATTCCCCGCAGTGGACACTTACTTCCGGTGAAAGGCATGTTGGCAAGGGAGCACACCCAGCTCGTCCTTCCCCTTGAAGTCTTCCAGACAGACTGCGCAGGTCTGCTGTGGGAAGGAGGGGTGGTGTGAGAGGAGGCCGGGCAAGAACCACACGCACCCATCAGCTCATCCCCACCCAAGTAAGCTAAGCTATGGCCCCGTTTCCTCATCAGCCACCGACACTTGAGTCAGAGGGTAGCCATTAACCACACGATGTTTCCATTGACCAAAAGAAGGTGAAATTAAAAGTTTAGTTCCTCAGTTGCACCAGCTACATTTCGAGGGCTTCCCATACTGGGCTGTGCAGATATCGGACGTTTCCATCTTCACAGAAAGCTTCATTGACCAGTACTGTTCTAGAAGAGTATTTTTTTTTTTAAAGATTTTATTTATTTATTTGAGAGAGAGAGAATGAGAGAGAGCAAGCACATGAGAGGGGGTAGGGTCAGAGGGAGAAGCAGACTCCCTGCCGAGCAGGGAGCCCGATGCGGGACTCGATCCCGGGACTCCAGGATCATGACCTGAGCCGAAGGCAGTCGCTTAACCAACTGAGCCACCCAGGCGCCCCTAGAAGAGTATTTTTTAATCCTTTCTCTCGCCTGGTACATTTGGCAAGGGGGCATGTACCAATAACTAGAGGTTAAGGATGGGGATATGGTGTTCAGTTAATATTCTTTAAATCCAGCTCTTTGTCATTATATATTAACCCCTGATAGCTGAACTCTCCCTCTCAAGGAGGGCTCAGGGAACACCCAGCAATGTGCTGAAATGCAGCAACATCAAAAAGAGGGACAAGGGGCGCCTGGGTGGCTCAGTCAGTTAAGTGTCTGCCTTTGACTCAGGGCATGATCCCGGGGTCCTGGGATGGAGCCCCACGTCGGGCTTCCTGCTCAGCCGGGAGTCTGCTTGTCCCCCTGCCCTTCCCCTCCGCTCATGCTCTTTCGCAAATGAGTAAAATCTAAAAAGGAGAGGATGCAATGAGGCATTCCTAGGCTGTCTCGTGTCTAGCAATACCAGACAACCACAAACCCCCTGTGCACAAGTGTTTGGGGTTATGGATGGACGCCTCGAGAAGGTCAGATGATCTCATGAGCGCACGTAGGACAGGAAGAGGAAAACGGCCTCCTGAAAAGGCCATGTGTGGAGACCCAAGGACTTGCTATACTGGTTGGGGGGAAACGGGGAAGCACTGCGGGGATGGCTACACGGGTCAGATCCGCAGCTGGGTAGGACAGGGTGCATGTATGGGGGTAAAAGCAAGGACGGCTGGACTCTGTGGCATGGAGTTGTGTGCCCACCCTCCCCTTCAACATTACGCAGAGCAGCCTTCCTGGGGCCACGTGGCCCCGCTTATTCAAACCCTTCTGTGAGCCCTTTAGGTTCTCTGCCTGCGCTGACATCATGCATCCCATATATGGATTACCTGCTGGGATGAGTCCATTTGGCCCAAGGAGACGAAGACAGGGTCTAAAGTTCCTGAAAGGGCAACCCCTTCAGGTACCCTCCCTCCCTGGGAGCTCTGTATTATCACTCTGCTATCACTCAATAAACCTTGGCTTTGCTGCCCACCAAAAACCAAAACAAAACAAAATAATAAGTTCCTGAAAGGCCCAGACTGAGAGCTGGATGGAGAAGGTGCCATTTGCCTTGCCGGCCGGGGCCCTTCCTACATGCTGTCCCAGTGCACTTACCCCATATAATTGCAACTTCTTGGCATCTCCTTTAAGTACCACCTGGGAAGACAGAGAGGAGGCATGGTGTCAGAAGCCCACCACAGGGCCAGGTGCTCTCAACAAAGAAGGGAGTGGCCAGCCCTGCAAGGAGGGTCTTCTCCCTCTGGAGGGGGAGGGCTCTGGGCACTGCCTGGGACAAGCCAGACATGAGGACTGTAACAAAGCATCAGCTTCCAAGGGAGCCAGAAGAGAGGCCAAGGGGGTTCCAGGCCAGCACTGCACCAGCTTGCCTGCATCCTGCCCGCTCCCTAGCAGGGCAAGGAGTAGGACAGGAAGTCTCAGGGAAAGACGCAGCACTTTACCTCCTTATAGCCATATCGTTCACTCTGTGCCTGGTTCCGGAGTTTGCTGGGGGAGAAAGAGAAAGGGGAGAGAAGAGGTTAGTTATTATTATGCCTTGCTACAAACAGAGCCATTCAGAGTAAGAGAGGCAGGCGGGTTGCCGGGGCAATTCTTCTGGGGCCGGGGAGGCTGCTCGCCACAGGGCTGTCTCATCCCAGAGATGCCACGGAGTGTGGTTTGGACCCATGCAGGTCACCCAGAGTGGATTAAAGACTCAGGCTTTTTCTTGGGCCCAGCAGCCTCAAAACTTCCTGGCAGGTCCCACAGATGGGGGAATTCCGGCCGAACACATTCTAGCAGAATGGTTCATTCCTACTGCCTGTGGTTTCCCAGTACCTCATTTTCTTCAGGCTCCCCAACTCTACGGATCAACAAGCTTCTTACTGAGTCTACAGGAGTTAGATAGTCTTAAAAGGAATATTGCCGTTAAGCCAGGGCGGCAGGATAAATAAGTCTCTGTTGACCCTGGGGAATTTTCCTCCTGGAGAACTCAAGTATTCTGGAACCAAAGCATACTCTCCCCTTCACAGCACCAGACAAACACAGATGATCCCTCCTCTGCCTTCTTTTTTCCCCTCCAGTTTCGAGCTGGTGGCCTACATACAACCTAACTCTCAACAGCCAAAACAGAGCATGTTGTTATTAATGGCAAGAACACCGTAGTTATGGTGGCCTTGCTGTGCATCGATCCCTGTGTTAACATACGCATGTACATTGAGAGCTTTCCTTTTTACAGAGGAGAACCGAAGTCCAGAGAAGTTAAATAACTTGCCCAAACCTCACAGCTAGTTGGCAGCATAGGCGGGTTTGAATCAAAGTCTACCAGACCATAGAGCCTGAGCTCTTCAACACATACTGCGGCCTGTTTCCCATTAGGTGGAACACATCATTGTCCTGAGAACGATACCAGACCACTTGGGAAACATCCGTTCATTAGCAGGGCTACAACTAATGGCTGGGACCATGATTACGTATTATTATTATTGCTGTTTTATTTGCAGTGAAAGAAACCTTCCAAATTAAGCAGGTAGCTCTATGTCCTTCTGTACTTGGGAGCCATGGGGCTTCCTCTGAACTGATCACTCCTACCCCAGATTTGTGTTATTGGAAGGAAACATCAAGTTATAATCGGTGTGGCAGACTATGGCCTAAGGGCCAAAGCCAGCTGAACCACTTGTTTTATAGGGCCTGGGAGCTAAAACTGATTTTTATTCTCAAGTGGTGGAAAGTAGAAATCAAAAGAATGTCTTTTTTTAAAGATTTTATTTATTTGACAGAGAAAGACACAGCAAGAGAGGGAACACAAGCAGGGGGAGTGGGAGAGAGAGAAGCAGGCTTCCCGCTGAGCAGGGAGCCTGATGTGGGGCCTGATCCCAGGATGCTGGGATCATGACCTGAGCTGAAGGTAGATGCCCAATGACTGAGCCACCCAGGGGCCCCAGAATATTTTATGTCTTGTGAAACCTGTATGAAGCTTAAATTTCAGTGTCCACAGATTTTTATTTGAGCACAGCTATGCTCATTATCTCCCTATTGTCTACGGCTGCTTCTGCCCAGTAGAGTGGGGTCATTAAGAGATTGGAAGACTTCCGAAGCCCCTATATTTGTCCTTTTGCAAAATAAGAGTGCTGATCTGAGTTAGAGATCTCAAATCATGAGCCTCAACCAAAAGGAGTGAGAGAAGATGCTCGCTCCACGGACACTGTGGAGAAGGCGAATTGCAGCCCAAGCCGGGGAAGGTGCAGCATGCGGGGCAGAGCAGAGCCATGCCCAAATCCCAGTCACGGAGCAGATCCAGATCAGGCTGCCACCTACCTCCGTTGTTCCTAACAGAAGTCAGGGGCCCTGGCGAGCCTGTGTACCTGGAACCTCTTAAGATCTCCAGTCTAGGGGTGCCTGGGTGGCTCAGTCAGTTGAGCACCCGACTCTTGGTTTCGGCTCAGGTCATGATCTCAGGGTGGTGAGACTGAACCCCATGTCAGGCTCCCTGCTCAGCATGAAGTCTGCTTGGGATTCTTTTGCCCTCCCTCCCTCCCCCTGCACGCTCCCCTCTCTCAAAATAAATCTTAAAAAAAAAAAAAAAAAAAAAAAAAAGAACTCCTGCCCAAGGGTGCCCAGTTAGTGGAAAATGTGACTTTTGATCTCAGGGTTGTGAGTTTGAGCCCCAAGTCAGGTGTAGAGGTTACTTAAAAATAAAATCTTAAAAAAACAAACAAAAAAACAAAGGAACTCTAGTCCAGGTGGAGTCCCGCACCATGGAGCTAAGGCCCAGGGTAACACATCCACTGGAGAGTTTCTGGTCACTGGAGGGTTGGACCAAAGGCTTAACCAGGACTCCCACTGTCCCAACCTTAACTTTGCAGGGAACTCCTTAGTCCAGAAAAGCCCTTCACAGGCAGGCCTCTCCGTCCCCACCTCCAAACAAGAGGGGCAGACATGGATGCATCCAAAGCCTAAAGGAGCAACTGTTACCTGGCTGACACTGAATGAAGCTGGGGAAAGAAGAAAGTGTTCTCATGATCAAAGGGCTCACAGCTGCCTTCTGAGGGAGACAGTGTTGCTCTCACCCGCTATGTAGGAGAGCAAATAAGGAAGTGGTGAGGAGCCCGCTTCTTAACTCCAAGAACGAGGGGACGCCTCACATCTTTGGTGTCTCCACTGCCTCACCTCCTACATGGCTCTGAGCACATTGTGTCGTGCCTCTCTGCTTGTTTCATGGGATGTGCGGGGTACCCCCTCCCCACCCTCAGCCCTTCTGTCTGTCTGGCTCCACTTAAGGGTCACAGTCAACGACCAGCCAGTAGCTGGGGGGCCCTGAGCCCAGCACCACCAGAACACTGAAAGCCTTCACCCTGCGTGTAGATTTCTGGAAGAGGAAGGTGTACATTGTGAGGAGAGGGGGCTGAGAAAGGCTGCAAGGGAAACAAAGCAAAAGGCAAACCCCCTGGGCCATCCAGCAGAGGCTGTGGTGCCAGCAACTGAGGACAGGTGGCCTTCTCAGCTGTCGGGTGAGAAAAGCTACTAAAAATAATCGGATTTCAATGAGACCATTTCTCGCCACTGCCCGTGGGCTCTCCCTGGCTTCTTTTCCCTTTTGGAACAAACAATGCAGCCAGGTCTTGAAAAGAACTGTTCCTTTCCTGCCTATTTGTACTTCACTGGCCCCTCCATCCTGTGTAGGCCACAGGTCAGCTCTTGGGGACCGAGGAAGGAGTGAGGGGGAGTTGGGAGAGTGGAGGCTGGTGTTGGCCAATGAGCTCGCCAGGTGGAGAGCAGGGGTCATGGGCCTATTTTGGCAGTGGAGGAAACTGAGAAGCAGGGAGAGGAAGTGGCTTCTGTGCTTGTGTGTGTCTTTCTATATATAGACACCCCAGGCTGCCACACAGCAGTGAGCCTCTGGAACCATGAAACTCCGGGGTCAGCTGGCTTTGGGCAGGCTGCAGAACAGAAGGTGGGGTGACAGAAGGGACAGGTGGTGCCAAGCGGCCCGCAGTCAGGAAAGCTTTTGGTTATTGCTCTCTTACTCCAGCCAGCCAAAAATAAGTCAGCCAGGCCTAGCTCCCCAGCCTGTCCTCCTGCGGGACCCCCATCTCTAGTGGTAAGGGGGTGCTGAGGGACCTTCCACAGCTGCCCCTTCCCTTCCCATTCAAGGAGTAAGAATCAGAGAAGGCAACTGTATGGAATCTGACAGACTCTAGCTCATGACCACCAGGCTAGCCCACGTCTGGATCTTCCTTGACATTAGGACCTTGGGCAAACCCGTAACTGCCTGAGCATGAATTTCCTCATTTACAAAGTGGGCTGTTGGGGGGGGGGGGTGTGTGTGTGTGTCCCAAAACGCCAACCATAATGTGGCACACAGAAGGTGCTTGGTAAACAGTAGCAAAAAGCCAAGGTCACACCTATCCTGTTAGTGGCAGAATTAGGAAATGAACCCTGGTCACCCACTTCCTGGCCCAGGGCCATTTTCTAGATTTTTCTTCACTCGACGCCCCACTTTGCAGCGTGGGTGTGTACCAGACAGAGCTGCTTCTGCAGACTCCTCCCCCAGCATCATACATAAACCTTTGGTATTTGGTATGTGTCCATCTTCAGTCTCTGGGGAACTGCATGAACTGCTTGGTGTGGGGAGATGGGGGTGGCTGGTGGTCAGGAAGCCAGAAAGTTTGAGGAAGAAAATATAGGCTTGGGGAAAGAGAAATGGGGGACGGAGAGCTACTAGAAGAATTGCCCTCATTCCCACATGCAAATTTTGGACTCAATTGTAAAAGAGGGAAAGTAAACCACTATCTTCTCTGCATAAACTTGTAAGTGGAAAACTCCAGTTCCAGGAACTTTAAGTTCTGAGAAAGAAGAGGCCTAAAGTAGCTGGCTGGGGGCACTCAGGGCACTTCCCCTTTTTCAGAGGAAGCTCTTCTAGCTTCAGGAATACAGACAGAAGAGTGTCTGCCTTCCCCCTAGCCTCCCTCCAGGTGAAGCACTCAGACCCACCAAGACCTCTCAGTAGGGAGCCAGAACTCCTTCTTTCCTTCAACTTAAATGATGTGGCAAGACTCCAGCTGAGAGCTACTCAGGCATTTGGTCAAGTGTGTGTGTGTGTGTGTGTGTGTGTGTAGGGGGGGTAGGGAGTGGTTATCACAATGGCCCTAAGGACCACTAGGGTGCCCAGGGATGCTCCTTACTCCTCAGTATGCAAGGTAGTCCCATACAATGAGGGACTGTTAATACCAAGAGCATGCCCTCGTCAGAAACACTACTTTAATTTCCAGTCTAAGTACCAGTCATGCCCCAAATTTTTGGTAGAAAACCTGCCACCAGTTCCCATGTCTTTCAACAGGAGGTGAAGAAACCATTCCTGGAGCTTGGCTAGCCTCAGGAGCCCTGCCATGCTCAAGTCCTTCCCTGGATCTTTATGTAATAAGAACAAGTGACGTTTTTAGTTTTTTTTGGGTTTTTGTGTCCCCCACCCCACTATCAAAAAATAAGAGCTTACAAGGCAGAATAAACAACCAGCTCTCCAGACATCAGCTTGCTAATATTAGCATCTGGAGGGCTGACAACAGGATTTCCCAGGAGGGCAGAGGGACATGCCACTGGTGTAACTGATGGCCACCTATCCCTGGCTCCCGGCTCACAACTCTGGGTAGTGAGACACAGTGAAGGGATGGACTCACGATATTACGTGGTCAGACGGTAATCCTAGGCCACCCTAGGATAACAGGCCAAGAGGTGCGATGCAGCCCAACCAATGGTTGACCTTATATGCTCTGGACAACTTGATAGGCTGACGAAAATAGAAACAGCAGGCCTCAGGGGCCCAGTGAAGGGCAGGCTAAGCCCTGTCCTCAAAGCAGGGGCCCCAGGGGGAAGCCAGGGGCTCTGCTGAGGAAGTCTCACTTGGCTCACCCCACCCCTGGCCTCCTTCTCCCTGCCTGCCTGCCCCAGGTTACCCAGGGTGCCACCCACCTGATAAAATAGCAGCAGAAGATGAGGCTGAGCATGAAGACGAAGATGCCCGTACCAAAGATGACCATGTAGATGTTGAGAGGAAGGTCCTGGAAACTGATGGGTGGCATGGAGCAGGACTTGTTGGTACTAACCAGTCCCAGGCCACAGAAACACCCTGCAAAGAAAGGGAGAGGAAGACTTATTGTTGGAAATGTACCACCAGGCTGATGTTACTTGGGTCAGCCAGGATGGAGAGAGAAATGGCAGGCTCTGGGCTCCTAAACCTCTTTGATACAGAGGCTTAACTCTATATCCTAGCTCTAACACTGAGCCGCCATGTGATCTTGGGTAAATAAGTCACCCGTGAAATGGGATAGCACATCTAGCACTTAAAACTGCATCCCCACCTAGGGGATCAAGGTTACGAGCCAATGGAAGACTTGATCCCATCAGCTAGAAGCTCACAGAGCTCAGCAGCAAAATGACGGGCCCTGGGTTGACAACATGGGTATTGGGGTTGCAAACACCGCCTCTCCCTAGAGATGCGGCTTTAAGACCATAGACCTATCTAAGCGTCCCTTTGTCATTTAAAAACAAGCAAAAAACAGAGAGGACCAAGTCCGTGTGTAAGAACAAAGCTTTGTAAAATCGCAAGGTGCGGTTGCAAAGGTCAGTTGTCATTATGAAGTCACCTGCTCCAGGAGACAAGCTGCACTAGGACCAGAAGAGAATCTGTTCACCCCAAGGCTGGGCCAGTGTTCCAGAAAGTGTTTCAGGTGCCGCTTACTTTGGCCACTTTCCCCGCTTGCACTCAAAGCCTCAATGTGCAGCTATATTATGGCATTGGCACCGACTCAGAATCTTGTAAGAAATGCAAAATCTCAGGCCCACCCTGAACAAAACGAATCTGAATCTATAGTTCTTTTAAGATCTTATTTATTTGACAGAGACACAGCGAGAGAGGAACACAAGCAGGGGGAGTGGGAGAGCGAGAAGCAGGCTTCCCGCAGAGCAGGGAGCCGGATGATGCGGGGCTCGATCCCAGGACCCTGGGATCATGACCTGAGCACAACCTCCCCATTTTTTTTCCTCCAGAATCTACATTTTGAACAAGGTCCTTGGCAGATTCCTACACATGCCTTGTGGGAAACACTGACCCCCCACTAGAAACTTCTCTTTCTCCCATCACTCGGGTAAATCCCGACTGGCCTACTAATCGTTGTAGTCACCTTTTCCTTGCCAGGGTTTGGTGTGGAGGTAGGTATGTTGACAGGGTTCTGGCCAGAAACAGAGTGAAGTCCTGCTGGACAAGGAAAGAGTCACATCTTCCTGAGACAACTGAAATGGTGACAGCCAGGTTACAGCTGGACGAGAAAGCTGTTCAATATAAAGCCAAGGGTAGAAGGTGGCAGAAGGGACAGGGAAAGAGGAGACAAGATTATGGCGGTTACTGCTGGATGAACCAATCCTGGAGCCACTCTGTTTTGGGAGTACTCGTTTTGAGAAACAGTAAATTTCCTGTAATGTTTAACAGTACGAAAAAATATATACAGGATATAAACAATAAGCCGGGTGGAATGTTCTGTCCTGCAACCAGGACAAAATACTACAGTGGTCCAAAAGGCAAGCATAATACAATTCTTGGATTTCAGCACGTGTGGAGACAAGAAAACTAGCATCTACCATAAACCTGCTATATCCCAAGCACATTCTCAGGCTACCAATTTAATCTTTGTAATGCCACTGTGAAACTTACTTTCCCCCTTCAACAGGAAAAAAAGAATCACTAAATAAGCTGTCTAATGTCAAGCAGCTAAGAAGGCTTGTATCCAAAGACCTCTGTACTCAGGTCTTCAACATGGGTTTTAAGCACTGGCCTGACATCTTGGTTGGGAGCCAGAACCCATAAATATACTTCAGAATTCTAGATTATAATTTCCAGTGCTACCAGAACTCAGAAGACTGGTTTAAAGGACTGGAAGTCAATTTTGACGTCCTACATCTCATGCCCTGTCATCCCCTAGATCAATCTGGTGAGACTCCCTTCAAACCTCATGAGCCTCCCTTCAAACCTCTTTCAGATGTTGGGCCCAATTCTATTCCAAGTCCCTGTCCCAGACACCTCATCGATGTCTGGTCCCTCCTCTAATTTAGCCCACCACTATTTCCCAAGCTTGTGATTGGCTTCCAGTCCTCCTAAACACACACGCCCTGGGTCTCTTCAACGTCCTCCGCTCACCGTCTTATGGAATCACCCACCAGGAACCTGTCTCACTATTTCTTGTCCAAACTGTCCTTAACCTGCTTCCAGACCTTTGTTCATGCCAACTTTTCCCTGCCTGAAACTCCCTCTGCCTTCTGGAAGTCCACCAAGCCTGCTCCTCATGATATCCCAGGAAGCCCCCTCTTCCTCTGAATTCTACAGGGCTCACAACCTGTACAACGCATTCTGGTTCTTGCGCACTCAGATGCTGTTCCAAGCATCAACTTAATTGAACTCAAATATTGACTACAGGACAAGTAGCATGACAGACATTGAATATAAAAAAGCAAAGAATGACTGGATGATTTTACTGTGTAGGGATAAGGAAAACACAAAGGCTTTCACTGTACCAAGGGAGGCATGGCAATAGAGGTGGGACGAGAATCCTAAAATCAGAAAGGAAACAGTCCTAACCAGCTTGAATGTTCGTAAGTCTGAGTGAAGTCTGAGGACAGCGGACTTGGACTTGTGTATATTCTCCAGTGCCTCGCCCAGCGTTTGGCTTGTTTTCAATTAACTAGTTGACAGATAAATAACTCCTGATTTTCAAGACAACCTGGTACCCTTGGCAAAGGCTCCCACTTCAAAGTAAGGAGAGTGATATTTGGGAAAATTGCCCAGAAACTGCCCTCAGCTAATGAATGACCGGTCAACCAACAAGTATTATTGAGAGCCTGATTTATGCACTGACCTAGACATTGTGGGAAAACAAAAAATAGAAGTAGTTCTTGTCCTGAAAGACTTTGTTGAAAAGATTAAATAATTAGCTCCTAATCTTGCTATGTTCAACAGGAAGCCCTTGCTTCTAGGCTCCCTACCTCAGCAACATTTGATGCCATAAGAGGGTCTAACCCCAATCCCTCTTGGCTCTCCATGCACGTTTTATGAGCTGGATCCTGGTTATCTTTAGGGTCCCAAAGAACCTCATTGGTTTCCCGTCCTGGAAAACTGCTATTGTAGAGGATATGTGTATGCACTCTGCAGGTACTCTAGCCTCAGTGGGCCTCTGATCCGTTTACCTTGACCGTCTTAGCTCTTCTGACAGAGACTTCTCCTGGGTTCCAGGACTGAGTCAGTGAGCTTGGGACTTCATGTGATAAAAAGATATAGGTGAGAAGAGCTTCACAGCCAAGAGGAGATGGTACATTTACTTACAATTAAAAATAAATGGTAAAGATATATATTGGCCAAAAGGTGTAGGAGTCATTTTTCCTCCAAAACTTGTAAGGGCAGAATACCAACCTGAGGAAAGAGAGACTCCAGATATTCCCCACCCCCACCCCCAACAAAGGGATTGGGGGCAGGGGAAGGGACTGCTTCCTCCTTGGAGTCAAAGAACAGGATCTATCAGTCACTTTAAGTGACAAGAAAAAGCAGCAAGCCCTCTCCTGGTCTAAAAACCCCATGTGAAATAGGAGTGCCAGAATCAAGTGCCAGCCACCTTGGTTCTTCTGAAGTCTCTGTTCCATTGTCTCAGCTGACCTAGCAAAGCCCTGACATCAGAGTGTCTCATCTCCGTGGTGCGCAGGCTGGGGGCTGGAATGACGTCAAGAGAAGGGCTGGCCAAGAAAGACCAGTGGGTCTGGGAAATGCTTCCCCTGCCCAGCCAACGGGAAGCTTTCCCAGATGCTGGGATGCACCGTCCTCCCTCACCCCCATCCTCCGCCCCCTGTCCCTCAATGCCCGCCTATCACACACAGCTTGGTTCATTTTCAGGAAATTAGATCCTACCAGCAAGAGGAAGAGGGGGATGGGGGACGCTCATACACATGCTGTCCAAACCCTGCCTTAAAACAAAAGCCGCTTGGAAGAATTCATCCAAGATCTGACAGGGGTCTGCTCTCAAGAAGGGTTTTTTTTCCTCTTCTTTTTTTCTTTTCCTTTTTTTTCCCTAACTAGCCAGCTTACCATACTGAGATAAGGCCAGCTGCACGCCCCCCCCCCCCCTTCCCCCTTCTCCAGAAACTCCATGCCTTGGAACAACACGGTTAAAACACCAAAGCCATTGGAAGGTATTAGTATCCCAAACCAATACCTTTTGACTGACCGGCTCAGAAAGGCCCTTCTTTAAGGTAGCTTGGGTGGAGTCAGCCCCAAGCCCAACCTGTATCACCTGAAACGCCAAAAAGCCTCAGGTGAGATGGATTTAGCATCACTCCAGGCCCGGGAGGGTGGGTAGGGAGTGGGGTGGAGGAGTGACTGGGCAAGGAGGTGCGGCCACCACCCGGATTCGGGCGCGGGTGCGGTAATCTGGCCTCGGGGCCAGAGAGCACGGCTCCCGCCGGCCTGGCCCTGCACCCAAAGGTACCCGGGCGCCGAGACATCTGCAAGGCTTTATCAACCCAGTAGAGACACGCTCTTTAATCTGGCGTCTTCCACGAACAAAAAGCCCCCTAGCAGCGAGTGAGAAGCCAACAAAGACACAGAAGAAGCCGCCCCCGCGCCCCGTCCCGCACGCTGCATTGTATACATATTTAAAATAGCCTGCAAAGTTCCAGGCCGGGAACTTGAGCTCCCTCTAGGAGATCCCCACCCGAGCGCGGATTTAATTCTCCTCCGACAACCACAACAAAGACCAGAGTTTGAGCGCACAAAGGCAAGGGAAGGGGGTAGAAGAGCGAAGCCGCGACACAAAGGCCGCGAACCCCTCGGCTCCCACGCCCCCCGCCCGCCGCAACGTTCAGAGACGGTCCCGGGCCTTGTGATTCTTTTTCTTTTTCTTTCTTTTTTTTTTTTTTTTTTTTTCAAATTCCGCGCTGTGCTGAGCCGAGTTGGGCGCCAGGACGCTTTCTCGCCCGTCCCATTTCGTGAGAAACTTAGCTCAAGAGGAAGAGCGCGAGCCGTCTGTCTGATTTCAAGCCTTGCGCCCCACCTCGTCTGCGGCCAGCCCAGCGTCCGCTCGCCCTCCCGGCCCGGGGACTCACCGTTACACCACTGGAATGGGTGCATCAATGAACTCTCGGCTGGCTTCCTCCGGCGAACGAAGGCAGGCGGCGGGTAGGGCAGGTGGGGTGGGCGCACCGGCTTTCGGGTCCGCAGGAGGGGCCGGTGTAGCCCGCGGCAGCCGCCTTTCTGGAGAAACCGAACTCCCTCCTGCGCGGCGGGTTTGGGCTTAAATGGTTTTAGAGCAACAAAGAGGGAAAAGGAGAAAACAGACAGAAAGTCCCCTGGATCAGTACACCACAGAAGAAACACAGGAAGGGGCCCCGGGCTGGGGGAGATGCAGCGCGCTGCAGAACAGGGTGGGGGCGCCCAGTTCGCCCGCCGAGGAGGGAAAAAGCTTCAGCGGGAAGCTGGGCTCAGGATCCCGGAGACGCGAAGGTGAACAGCCAGGACTCCGAAACTGACACGGGCTGCGCACACCCCCCTCCCTTTTACTACCCCCGGGAAACTCCGCCCCGCGCCCGTCACCCGCCCTCCGGCCAATGAGAGCCTTGCTGCTGCCCCGGTATTCTTTGCAGGCCCGCCCCCCTCCGAGGGGAGAGCATCTTTGCACCGTGGGCGCCTCCCGCTTCGCCTTCCCCAGTCCTCGGGAAACTTCACTCTAAAGAGAAGCGAGCCGCGCGGTGCGGTGCCCGGAGCGCGCGGGGGCCGGCCTCCTCCGCCGAGGACCTGGAGGAAACGGAACAATGAAGTGCCACATTGTTTTCCGCCTTCAGAGTTGCTGCTGGTTAGCATTTCCATTGCTCTCTGAGAAGCCAGTTCTAGGGAGGCGTCACATTTCTGCTCCGTGGGCAAGGACTTGGTCCTGGGTGGCGGCTACCACGTTCCTTTGCTCAATGGAAATGGAGGAACTGGAGCAAGAGAGTGAAGCAGACGAATTACAAAAGTGAGATCTGGAAAGAGCTCGAGTTGTCCTCTCATTTTTGGTCAGCCCCTCGTTTCACAAACAAGGAGCTGAGGCCCGAAGGTTAAGTTTAAGGTAGACTTATCAGGGCTCCACGCTCCTGAGTAGCAGAATCAAACCCCGGAATCGACATTGGCAATACCTTACGGGCAGTATCTTCAGCATCTAGCACCACGTAGGTGTTGAAATAAATAGCAGTTGGAGGAAAGACTGAATCTCTTAACCGCCCCCCCATGCTTTCTTTTTATCTGATGTTGCATCGCTTGTTTATTTCTATCTTGTCTGTCTTTCATTTATTCAGAATGTATTCACTGTGAACCTACTTTGTGCCAGGCACTGTGGCTCAGGGGACCCATCAAGGTCATCGGAGTCAGCGGGGTTCTACTCTCCCGTGATTTTCAGTGCCTGAGGAGACAGACAGTAAACAAGCAAGCAAACAAATAAGAATGACTCAATCTCATCTTTCAATTAAGCTTAATCTGTTAATTGAAGGTGATAAACACTTTCCCTAACTCTTGGGAATTTGTGACACTCAACACAAGATTATGCATATGAGTGCTTTGTCATTTAAAAGCATGGTGGTTAAGGTATTAAATAACTTGGCTAAAATCACAGAGCAGTCTGGAACAACTACTTTAGCACTTAATTACGTAATTGTCTTAAAACAATTGTTTTTTCTTATGAGCCGTTCTTGAGGATCGGAATCACGTACAGATCCAGAGCATTTCATCTCTTAATTGGGCAATTGCAAAAGCTTCCTACCTGGCCTTTCTGACTCTAGTCTAGGCCTCAGACTTTAGAGCCCCTGTGAATCACTTCTGTTTAGAGATGCTACATATGCAGACTCCGAGGCCTGGAGCTCGGAGATTCAGTAGTTAAAGGGTGGGCCCCAGAATGCCTTGTCTCCCCTCCCCCACCCCTCCGCTGCCAAATTCTCTAGCAATTATGCAGAGAAATAATGCTCTGATGTTACTCTCAAATCCGGCCTCTCTGCTGGGCCAGTGTTATCTTACTAAAACTTAAACCTGGTCATTTACTTCTCTTGCTTGATAACCTTTATTGGTCCCTGTTATTTACTGGATAAAGCCAAATTGTAGAGTGTCCCATTCAAATGGTTTCAGTCTGGCCTTTGCCTGTCTTTCTAATGCCAAATATGCTCTTTTTCCTCACATACTATTGGTCAGCCACAAAGCTTTTGTTGTTGTCCCTTGAACAGAGGATATTCTTTCTTGACTGTGATTTTGTACACGGTATCACTTATGTTTGAATGCCCTTTTTCTTTCTGTGCCTGACATTTTGCAAGATTCAGCTAAGAATACACCTCTTCTGTGGCTCACCATTGTCATCATCCCTGTCTCGGCATCTCTTTCAACACTTCATGTACGATGTAGTATGTTATGGGATTATAAAGATAATTCGATGATTTCCTAAATTTGAACACTTCATAAGTCCTCCTTAATAAGAGATTTTTCAAGGGCATGAACCACTTTTGTGGTTCCAAGTGTCTGGTCCAATAAGTATTTTTGGAATAGATTTATGTATGTGCATGTATATAAATAACCATACGATTCAAGCCATGTTCTAGGAACAGTGTTGAGGATTTAAACATGTGTATAATTGTTACGCAATAATTCTTTCTATACATTGGCTCAAGAGAAAGGTGTTGATAGATGAGCCTGATTGCATTGAGTTCCTGCTAGGTGCCTCTAGGGCACAAATTTTCCAACTTTGAAGGAAAACTTGACAAGAAGTGAGAAATACTTCTTCTTCCCACCCTTCTTAGACTAAAGAGAGCCCCAAGGCGGAAAGATGCCTTGAAGGTAGGAACAGCAGGAGTTCTCATGGGGAATAGAGCTGGTCAATCAGGACAGTGAACGTCTAGGGTCATACCTACAAGGACCATGAATTCAGTCATCAGACACAATGTTCTATAACAATTTATGTTCTAAGCCTGATATTTTAAACATTCAGTAAGGTCTCCGGAGGCACTAAAGGACTCTAATTTGGCAAGCCCAATGCATCCCTTTCCAGTTCCTCACCCTCAACCTTCCTTGGCCATTGTGGCCACAGGGCTGTGCCTCAGATGATGGCATAGACTGGGGGAGATATAGGTTGAAGGGCTTTGGTCTTGCACACATCCTTAAAAAGATTGGTTCAGTCTCCCAGCATTTCCTAGACCAAAGGTCTTATCAAAGACAAGCTGATTTCCCACATTGTGTCAATACAATTTAGGTAACTTACCCCTGCTCCCCCATCCAGATGATGGTTCAGCCCCTCAGCCCCTTGTGAATCAGGAAGACACATCTGGTTATTTCATTGAGGAAGACATTGAAACAGTGAAGAAGATGATGGATTATATAGTCGAAGTTACTTGAGGAATCTGAAGTAGAATGGTGTTTCTAAATCTTCCATAGAAAGAGGGAAAGGAAAGTTTTCTTCCAGGAAAACTTCTAAGGAGTCAGGGGTTGTCTTTATCCCTACTGTCCTACCCTAACATCTTCTTAGACACTCCAGGAGCCCCCCCATTTTAAGGCCTTGCAAGCACCAGAGAACTACTTTGGGGAGAGACAGCTAATTCTGTGGAGGAGCACGGGGCCAGAAGACTTGATCATCCCATTTCACCTTCAGTAAGAGTCTCTCTTCTATGGTTCTCCAAAGCCAGCCATAAGATATGGAAGAGAATGCTAACCATGGTGGTAATTAAGTGATAATTAAGGGGTGCCTGGGTCCTGGGACCTGGGTCTTGGCCACTCAGGTCATGGGTTGTGGGTGGTGACTTCGAGCCCCATGTTGGGCTCCAAACTCAGCTTGGAATCTGCTTGGGATCCTCTGCCTCGCCCTCTGCCCATCCCCCATCTCTCTCAAATAAATAAACAAATAAATAAAAATAAATAAATAAAATCTTAAGAAAAGCTGATAATTAAATCCAACTAACTGTTTTATTTCTTAAGAGAAGTTTGCATGAGAGGATCACACGATTCTTTGAAGGCATTGAGAGCTGTTCATTGTATATTTGGGCAAATCAGATCCGTCACTCATTTTATTCTTGAGAGATCTGGCCTTCCTCTGTCCAGATACCCTAGAGGTCTCAGTACCAAGATGCTTTTCAGGGATTGATACAACTCTTGATGAAATGTGTTCATAATTTCCTTCTTTCCCCAGGAAAGTGAAGCAGCAATTTCCTCACCCTGTTCTCAGCTCCTGACCCACATGGGAAATCCATGGAGGGGGCAGAAAGAAAGGGAGAGAATCTCAAGCAGCATCCACTGACACAGGGCTCAATCTCATGACCCTGAGGTTATAAGCTGAGCCGAAATCAAGAGTCAGACGCTTAACCAACTGAGCCACCGGGCACCCCTGTGATGCTCTTCGTAAGTATCAAAGGAGGCTGGAAGGAAACAGAAGCTAGGGGGGTTTAGGGCCCTATTTTTCCTAGGAATTATACATAGTTCTGCTGTGTCTCTGGGTTTCTGGAATGAAGCTGATGTTTTAGGCCACAGCTGAACCATCTCATGTGTGCAAGTGGAGATAGGATAATAAAGTAGACGGGAGGAGAGTCACACCTCTGATTAACCACCCACCGCATGCCAAGCCCTGTGCCCAGTGCTTCGTGTATTTTCCTTTATTCCTCACCACAACCCTCCAGGTACTATTGTTTTCTCCTTGCCTATAGGATAAAATGGAAAGCCCAAGAAGGTTAGATCTTAGCAAAAATCACAGAACTCTTAAGTGTTAGTGACAGATTTCCAACCAAACTGACGTCTCTCTCCACTAAACAAGCCTTTTCCTCAACACTGGTACAGTGGTTACGAGTGAAGTCTCTGGAATATGGCCTGGTGTGAACTCTGCTAACCCTCAGTTTCTTTACCTGGAAAATTAGGGCTAGTAGTAGAATCTACCGTAGAGGATCACATCCGGAACAATGCGTGATAAATGCTTGGCATATGACAGGAACAACAACAACAAAAAAAGCCCCTAGTAAATGTTCATTCTTATTATCATTAAACTACATCCTGAAGTCTCAGGGCTCAGAAGGGGCACTGGACCAAAGAGCCAGTATGTCTAGTGTATTAATTAGGATGCAGGCTGGGTCCCTAGGGTGGTTTTTGAAAGCATGTCCACAAATTCTTTAATATTCCTCCCCTGAAAAGGTGGAGCCTAGTTCCCATCCCCTGGAGAGTGTGCTGGGTTTGTAGACCTTCTAACAAGTAGAATGAAGCAGAGGTGACAACTCCTGACTTTGGAGACTGGGTCATAAAAATGCACTGCAGTTTTCTTCAAAGACACTTACCTACAGAAAAGCCATGTGGTGGGGACGGTCTCTGTTAACAGGGAAGTCTCTGTTAACAGCCATGTGAATGAGCTTGGAAGGAGATACTTTGCTTTGGTCAAACCTCTAATGACTTCGGGGCCCAGCCAACACCCTGGTTGCGACCGCAGGAGAGATCCCGAGACAAAAAACCACACAGTTCATTCACACTGAATTCCTGACCCACAGAAACTATGAGACAATAAATTTTTGT